CAGGTGGTAATCAGGTAGTAATCAGTTTAAAATCGGGTACCTGATTTGTGTCTGATTTTTCATCTTTCGACCTGTGATAGGCTTACAGATAAAAAAATAATATAAACAAAATTTAAAACAAGATATTACTTTATAAAAAAAAAACTAAATAACTGGTAGGCCAAATACACAATAACTATATGTTGTTTTGTCTTAAAAACATTATTTTGGTATATATAAGTTAGTATACAGTATTATTAATTTTAGTTGTGTTAACATGATTTTCTAATACAATATATATTATAAAAAAATATCTTAGAGTACTACATGTAATAGCTAATAACAAACAAAAAAAAAGTTAAATGTAGCAAAGTGCGAAGAAAACAAATTGAAACTTTTCAGTATAAGTAACGCCAACGAAAAATTTGTAAGCCATTTTTGAACATTTACTAAAATGTCTGTTATTCAAATCGCTTTATTAAAACGATCCAATAATATTGAAGTAATAAATACTCAATTACTTTAAGTAAACGTTCAAAAGGCATGACTTACAGATTTTTCCTCATAAAAAATCAGATCCAAAACCAATCTATATAAATCCTTTCGATTAATGAATTTACCATTTAAATCTCGTTATAATGAAATAGTTCTTTTTTCACTATAACAAGAATGTCATATTGTATTATCATGTGACAGTCTGTAACACTGACCCTTGATTTATAATACACCTCATCTGAAACATTTAAAACGTTAATCTTGATAAAATGACGTTTTTTCAATCTCGAGAATAAATTTACCTTAAAAATTTTTAAAGTTTTCTTGCCAAATGGAAGAGAACAGAAAACAGGAAATGATGTTAGTTTTAAACCAAATTAATTTTTTTTTATAATTAAATGATATATCGAAAAGTTTATAAAATGAGAAAAATCAATGAGTAACAAACCTGAAACACGGAGGACTGATCTCCTTGTTATAAGTTAAGCTTTCTTTTATTGAAAAAAAAAACAAAGCCGAGGTCTGATTACGTATATATACTGCATATATACTAAAAAATTTTGTGTCGTTTATAATACTTTAAAACATTAGCATACATTTACGGACAAATGGTGGATTTCTCACGGGCTCTCGCGAATAACAATAACAAATTTGTTTAGAAACTAGTATCTATTTAGGATTTAAATGAGAACAGTCACATTGTATGTTTATTTTAGTGTCTCAATGTACTTATGTACTTAGGATACAAACTATGCTACGTATGATAAGGTATGCGTATAATACGTATGTCTGTACATAAATATTAGTCTAGCTATAAATCACATGTTATTATGTTTAGGTATACAATAACATGAAAGTATTTAATTCGAATTTTTGTTTTATCAGCATATATTTTTATTAAAATTATTTCATAAATTTTTTGTAAAATAGTAAATATATAAATTTTTTTTTATATATAGCTTTTATTATCTGCAATTCTCAAGTATTTTGGCATAATATCTTATGAAGGATTAATAAATAACGATTTTTACTATTATACAATTTAAAAATTTTGATGAATAGATTAAAAATGAAAAGATTCTCATCCGCACTTCCATATTCTAAAAAATGGTCGAGTGGAAATCCAGAAATTGATCGGTTTCTTGAAGAAGCAAAATCAATTTCTGCGGGATCAAAACTAAAAAATTCAACTACTATTGAATCAACTCTTAATTCACAAGAATCATCATCTACCTATTTGACAACAAATAAATCATTAGATTTTGAAAAGTCAATAAAATGGATACCTTTTAATGAATTTAGTAATTTGGTAGAAATTGGAAGAGGAGGATTTGGAATTGTATATTCGGCTATTTGGCATGATGCACCTGAACAAAAGTTCGATTTGATTTGGAATAAGAAACGTGTTGCTTTGAAAGTTTTATTTGGATCTAATGTTTCTACTATCGATCTTTTAAATGAGGTACTTAATTGATACTAATCTTTTAAATTATTATTCTTCATTATCGTTATTAATAATAATAAATTAACCAAATAAATATATTAGTTAAAATCCCATTATCGATGTATGGAATCCTTTAGAGTTCTTCATTGTTACGGTGTAAGTCAAGATCCATCGACTAAAAACTACATTCTAGTAATGCAATATGCAAGTGAAGGAAACCTTCAAACCTATTTAGATAACGCTTTCGCTCGTTTCACCTGGCATCAAAAGATAAATATGCTTCGAGATATCGTTTTAGGTTTAAAAGCTATTCATTCAGAAGATTTAATTCATTGTGATCTTCATAGTGGTAATATTTTGCGTCACGGATATGGAAATGATAGTGATAATTTGGATACATATATTTCTGACATTGGATTATGCCATCCTATCGTTGATTCGAATGAGAAAGAAAAAATATTTGGAGTGTTGCCCTACATTGCACCAGAAGTTTTAAGAGGTGACCGATATATTAAAGCGTCAGATATTTATAGCTTGGGAATTATAATGTGGGAAATCACATCAGGTGAAAAACCTTTTATGGATCGTGCGCATAATGAAGAATTAGCAAAAGATATTTGCAATGGTCTTCGCCCTACAATCATAAACAATACACCAGAATGCTATGCGCAAGTGATGAAACAATGTTGGGATGCGAATCCTGTAATGAGACCCACGGTAGAGAATTTGGTTGCTATTATTAGAGAATTTCGTGAAGTTTCAGATGATAGAGTTCAGATAATGAATGCAGAATATCATAGGAAGGCGATGGCTAAGAAAATCTTTGCTGGAAAAGTTGAGTCCGAAAAAAAGAAACATCCAGAAGCAATTTATTCTAGTCGTCAATTTGAATTTATGGACTTGCCACTGCCAAAGAATTCGCCAGAACCTTTATCAGCTCAATCTGATAATCATCGTAAGTGTCAAATTAGTATTAACCTATTTTTGAACATATAATTAATTATTGTTAAAAACTGCATATATATATATATATATATATTTATTTATTTTTAAATTTTGCAGGTGTGCCAGAAGTTAATAACGGTAATTTTTAATTTACAGATGTCTATATTATAAAATATATCAACCGTATATTATGATACTAATTTATTTTATGAATTTCTTGTAATATTAAATCAGACACTACAAATTATTATCAACGACAAACAATTTCACCCACAATACCCATGATTATGTCACCAAAAACGCGAATACAAAAAATCTATTCTGCAAAGATTAAAAGTAAAAACAATGTAAATAATGATCAATGATTATTAATGACATATATTAATAACATATATTAATAACATATATTAACATCATAATTTAAATGCAAAGTTTTTTAAAGTCGTTTAAATGAAGCACACACAGACAATCTTAATATTCGGCAATTATTATTATTATATTTATTTATGTATATATTACACATTATATACATTATATATATATATATTATATACTATATATACTATTATTATGTACTATATTATTATTACAGTACATTATTAGCACTCTGAGGTTTTGAATTAAATTCAAACTGTCTGTCTAACGTGACATTAAAAAAAATGAAGAAATCAAATAATGGTGTGTTAATTCATTTTGGTTAGTTAATATTAATTTTAGTATACGAAATTAGTTTAGTCTGATTTGCATAGATTAATTCTATGGTCTGCAAGACTAATTAGTTTTTATGGACTGCATAGACAATGAAATTAAATTCGTCTATGGTCTGCATGTATGAAATAAATATTGACATTAGATAAAATTAGTTTCGTCCATATCTGTGTGATGAAATTAATTTAGATTATGGGTTTGCATAAGAGAAATTAATCTCGTTTATGGTTTGCATAAATAAAATTAATTTAAATTATCGTTATTATACTAATTTGATTTATTATGTTTGGCATGAAATTAATTATCTATCGCTATCGTTATTGGTATACATTTGAGTCTAATTTTTTGGAGAAGTCGTATTCAAACTGAAAAGTCATGTTCAGGATCCAAACTGAAACCGATTGATACCATATCGATACAAAGAAATTTCTATATATAAACTAAATAAAACTCTATGCATTACGATAAGCATCTTGCTATTTGCAAGTTTCGATGTTTGGCACTTATTACACTTATTAATTATCCCTATTAATGTCATATATTCGCTTAGAAACACAATTTTTACAGTATATAGTTAGTATTCGCCGTAAACTGCCATATGCAAGACCCGAGTCTAATTCATTTTACCAATATAATTAGATCCGTGGGTTTCTTGTATGTGTGGGGCCTGATAATTGGGGTTTATTCAATTTTATTAGTTTTTTCCTATTTGTATACCCCGAGTCTCTTACATTTTACCAAAGCTTTATCCCATGTTGTAGACCCGGGTATATAGTACGTAGAGGTCTGATATCTGGGGTCTTGTATGCGGAAGTTTACAGTAATACTTATGTGGGTTAAGCAGAATAACCTGATATGCATAGTGAAAGAATCAATAATAGGTTTGGTGGATCAAATTTTTTAACAGTTTTGACAGGATCAGTTTTAGTGATGCGGTAGAATCGTCCCAATGGTTGTCGTAACTAGTTACAACATAATCTTTAGCTAATTACAGCTTAAGTCGTGGGACGATTCTATCGCATTGATTGTTACTTATTCTTATCATCAACAGATTTTACTATCGAAGTAATAATGAAGTATGAGCTTTGTGCGTTCTTTTTACCTTGTTAATATCTAATTTCTTCAGCTCGAATAATTTTTATTCTTGTGTTCATTATAATCAACTATGTTTCTTTTTAAATGAGTCAGGATTATCTTATTACACGTCGCCTAATCGTAAGATATAAATAATCAGGAATTTCTGCGGTAATTAAATAAATTCCTCGTGAGAAATTCATCAAGAAATTGGCTTTCTTTATACGGACTTTCCGTGATTTTGTCATCATTTGTTAAGGAATAAAATGTATTCAAATATTTAAGAGAACGTTCAAAACTGTGAAATGATCGAAGGACATAGAAGTTATAAAAATATATATAATATTTTTACCCAAAGTTTAATATAAAAAACTATTATATATTGTCAATAAATAGTAAACTAGATCAAATAAATTATATAACTAGACGAATAAAAAAGATAAATTAATTAAGCTTTGCTAAAAATATTCAAGTTATATAACAGACTCATATTTTATTATTTACAAATTTATTTAATTAAATTGTAAATTAATATTAATTACAATATTTCGTTACTTAGAAAATAATAACTACAGAGGCAACTTACTTATTTAAGCTACAAAAAATTTTTAAAATCAACTAAATTCTTAATTGTTTAAATTTCTAAATATTAGACTTGATAGTTTTTTAAATTGTTATAACTTGTTAATTTTATTATTAAATAACTATTTTATAAAAATTATCAAATAATTTAAAACTTTACAAGTTTAATATAATTATTAAAAAATAAACAAAAACCAAAAGGAACTCTGTGATAATCATTTGAACCAAATTTTTCTACTGAAGAAAAGCAAATTTTTGTTGAAGAGTTGCCTGTATTTATAGTGCACTAGAAGCATATAGTGTAATAGTTTTTATAAAAATTACTCTACAGCTTTATGGGAACTTTTTTATATATTTAACATACAAGCTAAAAGTATCTTTATATAAGATAACTGGCAGAAGTTGGTACTTTTGTATATGAAATTTTGGTGAAGACTTAAAATTGTCTCCATTAATGAAAAAATCTGTTGCAAGACAACAAATAACAACAAGAAGAACCTTTTTTTCAATTACACTTTTTACAATTTGTACAAATAATTTTTACTTATTATTTTCTTTTGCCTTCTTACTATTCTTCTTCCAAAATTTTTATTAAAAAGTAAGGATTTGGTTTATCCTCAACATTGTTTACTTTTCTAAATTTGAATAGATATAGTAAAATATAATTACATAATATGTTTATTTATAGTTATAGTGCTATTCTATGAGAATTAGATTATAATTTCTAATTAAGAGATATTTAAAGATAATCATTTAGTTGAAGAGAAAATATATATTAAGACAAAGCTTTATAGTAAAGATATACAATCATTGTATTTGATATATAATTTTTAACCTTGTACAAATTATAATAGTATATTTTTTCTTCTATATATAAGTTATAACTTTGTTTTTTTTTTATTTTTTCTATTTTATCTTCTATATTTTGGTTTTTTATTTAAAGTATTTAGGTTTTTTTCTTTTTTTTTATTCTTTATATTTTTTTTCTTTTTATCTCTTCTTTTATATTTTATTTTTTTTAGTTTTTTTATATTGTAGATAGATTATAAAATAGTCTTTCTGCTAAAATCTAAGTAGAAAAATTCAAAAAATAAGTTGATTATAACAAGCTACAGTTGTATTTAAAAATTACATATAGTTAACTTTCTCTAAGTACATATCCTCTAAGTGCAAGTTATATTAAATTCTCTTTTTTTTTAGTCTTAGGCTATATAAAAGTATAATAAACTTATATTTTCTAATTACAGGTTCTTTTAAATACAGGATTTTTTTTTATTTAAGAAAAATTTATAGATCCTAGTGAGCTATATTTAAAAAAAGTCAACTGTAATATATTTTAATATAGATGGTTATATACAAGGTTAATTTTGCTATAGCAAATTATATAGGTATTTATTAAAATAACTAAATAAGTTGGTATTTATAATATTAGAATTTAAAAAGTTAATTTTTTATCAAATATATATAGTTTTTAATATAGCTAATATATAGGATCTTTGCTAGGATTTTTTTTTTAAAAATAGATTTATTATGTTTTTCTTAATAAAATCTTGTGTAATAATAGCTCGTAAAGTCATTTTACTAGCAAAGATCCCATATATAAATAGTAAATAAAATATTTATTATTGATATTTAAACTACTAGCAACAAAATTTATTATTATTTATACTATATACTATATTTTTAAGGGATTTATTTTATAGCGCTATAGCACTGTAGTGCTAGGGCATTTTAACCAATTAAAATTTAAGATCAGGTGTAACATG